GTGACTAACTTCATGGCTGTTTGTGAGACATTGCTTTGTGCAAATTATCTGTTGTATTTGCCTACAAATACATAGTCCAATACACTTCATAGTAAATCACCAAGCCAGTTAAGAACCTAGGTGTCTTATTCAACCCTCAACTGTCTTTTCTTCCCCACATCCAAGTCATGACCTGCTCTGCCTTCCCTCACCTCCGTAACATTGCCCGACTCCGTCACCACCTCACCCCTCAGGCCGCTGAAACTCTTGTTCATGTCTTCATCACCTCGAGGCTCGACTGTGTAAACGCCCTGCTTGTGGGCTTTCCCAACTCCTCCCTCCACAGGCTGCAGATAATCCAGAACTCTGCAACCCGTGTCCTCTCCCGCACCAAACTCCGTGACTCCATCTCCCCCACTTTAGCCCGACTCCACTGGTTCCCTATGCTTCAAAGGATCCAGTTCAAGATCCCGGTCCTCCCCTATAAAGCCCTCCATGGACTCGCCCCACCCTACCTCTGCGACTTCCTAACCCCCTACAAACCCGCCTGCTCCCTCCACTCAGCCGGCTCTGTCCTGCTCCACGTCCCCCGACCCACCCTCCCCACCTTCAGCTACTCTACCCCCAACCTCTGGAATTCCATCCCCCAATCACTCCGCCTCGCCCCCTCCTTAGCCTCCTTCAAGTCCCGCCTCAAAACCCTCCTCTTCGACCGTGCCTCAGTCACACCCCTTCCCCTCCCTTCTCCCTCCCTGACCCCAGCTCGGGTCTGAAATGCTGTACACTGTCCAGTACCTTGGGACGTCCTCCTGATGTGAAAGGCGCTACAATAAAAATAATCCTTGCATTTGATATAATGTTTTTCACATCTTTGACATCTCAAAGCACTTCACAGAATAGTGAATTGACCGTATATTTGTGAGCGAAACACGGCAGCCAATTGCACACAGCAGTGTCCCACAAACAGTTGTGGATTGAAAATGACCAATTCATTATTGTTTTTGTTTTTGGAGGGATTATTATTAGGCTCTGTGTGGAATAAGGAAACTTGCCCAAGGTTTCGCCCTGCCTGGAATTGAACCCAGGTGTCTCGCTTACAAGGCGAGTGCTCTAACCACTGAGCTACAGGACTCCACTATACGAATGTAATCTTGTTGTTGTAAATCCTGTGAAGTGCTTTGAGACGTGCTCATGAAAGGCACTATATCAAATGGAAGGATTTTTATTAAATGATGATTTTTTAAAAATAATGCACTAAGCCAATCTGGAACTTCTCCCAAAATCCTTCTCTCCCTATTTCAAAATCCGCTTGAAAAACATATCTCTTCAACTATGATTTATTCTTCTTCACAACAATGGGAAGGGATGGATGTTTTGAGAAGAGCTTTGAGACATTTAACTTATGTGAAAGGCACTATATACAGCAAGTATAATTTGTTATATCCAAGTACAATCCCTAAAAAAAATTGGTCATTCAATCCACGACTGTTTGTGAGACACTGCTGTGCGCAATTGGCTGTCGTGTTTCACCCACAAAATACACTGTCAATTCACTTTACAATATATTCTGTGAAGCACATTGAGAGTCTCAACAACGTGATAAGGCGCTATTTCAAACGAAAGGTGTGTTATGATAATACAGTCTTTTTCTGCGCACTAGTCAGATGCAAAGGGTTTCAGCAGCCTTGAAATCAACTGACAAATCTTCACAAAAGTGCAGTGGAAGCTTTATGAAGAAGATGCTTTTACTAATTTGCAATGTTATGCACAAGAGTCATTTAAGTATTGAATAGCAATTTGCAGCAAAATAATATCATGGATCATTTTTATTTTATCACAGGTAATTGAAAAATAACTCTGTAACAATTTATTAAAATTGCTACTATATATTATACTATATGTATAAGGGCCTTACACAGAGGATAATTTTTATCATAAAAACATGAGTTGAATGATCAATTTAGCCAGAGGGTTGTTGGCCAGGACACCAGGAAAAAATTACATCACAGCATCTTTCACGTCTGCCTGACAAACAGATAAGACAGAATCTTGGTTTAACATCTCATTTGAAAAACAACATTGCAATCCTCTGGTACTGCACTGGAATGTCATTCTGGAGTTTTCATCAGATAAACAAATCAAAGCAGATAATGAAATTGATAATATCATTTAGTAGATTGATTTGGAGGATATTTAATACATTATTCATATTCCTGCTGGAGATGGTCTGTAACTATTGTCAGAGGCTGATAGCTATCATACATCCGGTTTGCCTATTGCCACACTCTCTGTGAAGGTTGAAGGCATTAAAAAGTGTTTGTACATCTGTAATTGATAGTCCAGTAACAGAACAAGCAGAGACATAACTTTTCCTAAGTGCTTGTTTTGCGTCGGAAGAGTGTCCTTCACGGTCTAAAATTATTGTACAGCCTTCGCTTTCAGATAATATAAGTAGCAACAAATAGCTAAAATCTATTAAAAGGCTGAATAAATTTAACATTACATTATACAACGTGAAAGCAAAACCCTTTTAATTTATACAGTTATTTGAATATTTTGCCATTTCTTCACTTATTTTACAAGTTTCTTACACATATACACACACATTATGTATTATTTCTTGCAGTCTTTCCTTCCTTCCAGCACAATATTTAAATGTGCTACAGTTACTCTGAAGGTAAGGACCAGAATTTTACTACTGTGTCTTAATAACATTAATAATAATCCTTGCCTTTGATATAGCGCCTTATCAAGTTTTCTAGACATCTCAAAACGCTTCATAGAATATGCTGTAAAAAGTGAATTGACTATATTTCGTGGGCGAAACGCCGCAGCCAATTTCACACAGCAGTGTCCCACAAACAGTGTGGATTGAGTGACCACATTGTTTTTTAAGGGTTTATTGTCCCCGGAAAAGTGATCCGCCAATCGATTAACAACCAGGTTCACATTTGCTGCTAGGTAAACAGAGGCATGTGGGTAAGGAAACTTGCCCAATGTTTCGCCCTGCCGGGAATCAAATCCAGGTCTCTTGCGAGTCGAGTGCTCCAAGCACTAACCTACAGGACTGCACAAAATGAAGTCATGGCAAATGAAGATGATGTGCCACTCCACTCACTACTCACATGTGCCTCTTTATCTTTCCCTCCAATTATTGCCTTTCCTCCTGAGCAACAACAACTTGCATTTGTAAAGCACCCCTCATGCAGGATAGATCCCCAGAGCACTTTAGAGATACTGATTCATGCAGAGGTGTGTTTCTATGGATGATGGTTCTCCTCCAGTACCTCACTTGAGTGGCCTTTCAGTCCAGACAGTGAAGACCAGCAGATGCACCTTCATTGGGGGAGGGGAGGTGGAATCCCAGCAGATCCTGATCTTGTTTTCATTTGACATTCACAAATCAAGTTTTCAGCAGTGTTCAATGGATACTAAACAGGAACATGAACCCTGAATAATATTTCTCCATCCTAATAGGCGATTACTGGTCACAGCTTTATCAACTGTGTTTCTATTTTGTCTAATTTCTGAGCTTTTCTGTTTATTCTTTGGCATTGGATTTAACATTCTCGATTTTAACACTATACTTTGCCTTGGGGTTAATGTCACATGACAGCAAGAAATGCTTTTCATAAAATAACGCCTTTACTCCAAAATGATTTGCTGGAAGATAAAATATATTTTTTTCTCTTGTAGCAGGAAGAAAGCGTGGCACTGAAAACATGACGACTGCCTCACTCCTGTAATGTATTGTGTGGAGAACAATACGTACTTGAGTACGATAACGAAGCAGTTATTTCATTTGTGGAGTTAGGTAACCTCATAAACTTCAATTGTGAAATTTGAGCAAAGCCTTAGAAGCGTTCCCATAGCTCTGGCAAATAAGAAACGGAAGAAGCTTGAAGCTGATGTAGGGCGACGTTCACACTGAAGGATTAATTGCCTTTATTGAGTGGTTGTCTACAGCGTCTTATAGACATATAAGCGCAACGCCGAGGTGGGGAGGTGGCCATGGGAGCATGATGATGAGCTTGGGGGAGGGGGAGGCGACTGGAGACACGGTCAAATGGGAAGGTCTTCAGGCACGACCTGAAGATGGGGAAAGAAGGGGCGAGGCTGAGGGATAGAGGAAGAGGGCTCCAGGGTTTTGGGGCGCAGTGGCTGAAAGCGCGGCCACCCATGGTGGAGCGGAGAGCACTCGGGCGCTGTAAGGCGCTATATCGAATGCAAGGATTATTTTTATTAATGATAATAAAATAGCCCCCAACTGTTGTGTCGTCCGCTGCTGTGTGTGTGTGTGTGTGTGTGTGTGTGGGCGGCGCTGCTCACTCGGGAGAGGGGCTGAGTGGCGCTGCAGTTCCGGGCGGCGCCGCGCGGGGTCGCTCGTGAGGTGGACCCGCGGTAGGAACGCAAAGCGCTGGGGCACAGGGCGGGGGGGGGGGGGGGGAGGGGGCGGGGACTGGTGATCGGCAATCAATGTCGCCAGTTTGGGCGGGTTCACGCCCAATTGGGCGGGTTTTGTTGCCCTGTGTGTGTGTGTGTGTGTGTGTGTGGAGAGAAACGTTTGGCTTTGGGCGGGTGTCTTAAAACAGAATTTTAAACCAACTTAAACCTCCCTCCTCCCTTTTTCCTGCAGCGCTTTCCGTCAACGCAGTTTCAAATCACGAACCTATATCGGCAACGCAGCACAGTGAGCGACTTTCGAGCCGGTGTTCGGTGGACTTTGGGCTACAGTCACCCCCGATCGCCCTGCCGGCCTGCAGTGACTCCTGGCGCCGCAGGGAGGGAGGGGGCGCTGTGAGAGACAACTGGGAAGGAGCGCAGTTACCGGAGGGGGGGCGGGGGGGGGCAGAGAGAAGCTGCCGCGGCCGCAGTTGTGAGCTGGTGCCGCGAGGGGCGCTGTGAGCTGAGCTTCCCGGCGGCCGAGGCGAAGTGGGGGGGGTGGGGGGGAGGTGGAGAGGGAGTTGAGCCCAGTACTTCCGCCGTCGCTTGCGTGTCCTGGAAGGAGGCTGACGTCGGCAGAGCTCGGGTTGTTGTTGAGGCAGCGCTTCGGCGGCGGACACGGGACAGGCGGCCGCTCGAGCGCACTGTGAGGCCCGCCATGGCGTACGCTTACCTCTTCAAGTACATCATCATCGGCGACACAGGTCAGCGAGCCCTCATCCCCCCCTCCCCGCACGTCAGTCACGTCGGGGCGAGGCAGGAGACCCAACGCCAAGGCCTCGGCCTGGAAACCCCCAGCCGCCTGCCAGCTCACCCGGACTCGGGTGCTCCAGCTGTGCCGAGGACGGGTCGTCTCGGCGCCGGCCGAGCAGTTCACTCGAGGCCGAGGCCCCGGGAGTTGGTTCTGCCGGTCCCAGGACCAGGCAGAGCCTGCCGGCGGGTTGTGAGTGAGCCTCAGCCCGGGGGAGGGAGGGAGGGGTAGAGGGGGAGGGAGGTGGCGACAGCGGCTGCTGCGTTTTCATCACTTAGGCCCGAGGCAGGTCTGCGCTTTTTGGTGATGTGAAACTCGGTTACACCTGATACGGGGCGACAGTCACACCAACCAAAAGTGACTCGGATACCGAGGACAGACAGACTCCCTCCCGGGAAGACTCGCAGACAAACCCCTGAGAGACTGCAGACCAACCCAGACTGACTCTCGTACGGATGCATTCCAGAGAGATTAAGATGCAAACACGGCATAGATTCAACTGCAGATGGTATAAGAGAGAAAGAGAGCGACTTGGATATGCACAGAGATAAGGAAAGAGAGAGAGAGAGACTATAGACCAGTCCACAGGGAGTAAAATACAGACATGAATCAAAATACAGACTCGGTGATGCATTCACATAGACTAAGTTAACATTGGTACAGGGGGAGACTCAGATAAACAAATGTTGACAGACATAAGCCCACTGAGATGTTTGCCCAAAGATAAATATCGGTATATGACAAACTTCAGGCACAAGAGGTAAATTAACAAATAAATGTGGATCCGTACATGAACTTTGGGATGAAGAATCAATTAGTCAGAAACAGTGACCTGTTATGAAGGTAAACTCAGTGAAAATAATTCAGGTATAAATAATATACATTATATATATAATGTCCATTTCTCAGTGACTTTCAAACTGTGACACAGGTGTACTGTGCATTTTGTATAGTGTAAAAATGTATATGCATAAAAGAGACTTGGAAACAGACATCTTTCCAGGAATTGACTCAGACATGGTAAATACTAACACTTGGATAGGCATAAAGCGAGAGAGACAAATACAAATTCAGATACCTACATGGATACCCAGATCCAGAGATATCAGATACATAAATAAACCCAGAAAGAACAATTCAGTTAAAAGAAGAAAAGTTCTACTTACAAAGAGAAACTCAAACACAGATTGATATCCACAGAGAGCCTGAATTACCAACTTATAGTCTGTCTCAGATAGAGATTCTAGCCCATAGACTATAACTCTTGACAGACCTGAAGCAAGAGGGAGGGAACGATAAACAGAGACTTGGTTGTGGAGTGAGCTATATTGGCTGAGCTATGGGAATGTATCCATGGAGAGGTGGACAGGTATGTGTACCAAGGAAAGGAGGCATAGGTTATATACCTCGTGTTATAGGACTCCGCTAAGGCTGTGTACCCAGTGGAGACTATAACTGGTTCGTCCCAAGGGAGAAGTGAACACGTGGGTGTCCCCAGGGGGAGAGAGCAGGTGCAGGTTAAAAAAGAAAGTAATTTTTAAAGATCACCTCCAGCAATTCTTCTGTCCTCAAAAATCTACAAAATCTGTGTTCCTTAAACACTCTTGCATTTGGGGTTTCTTCTAATTCTGTTTGCACATTTGATGAAGTGACCATCATGCTGTAGTTTGAAAGTGCAATGACCCTTGGACATACCTTGTGCAAAATTGATGATGTGGCCTGACACTGGCTTGTGTCTGACAACTTTCCATTAGATTAAGCAGTTGAGCCACTCCCTGAACTGGCATTATATTGGCCAATTCAAGTGTCGTCTTTTGAAGTGGCCAGCCAATTTTACTGGCATCCAGAAGTATGCAGGATGAATGGTTTTCCTTCTGTTAAGGCAATTTATTATCTTGTGCAAATTGGAAAGCAATAAATATCTTGTGGAATTTTGACAATGTAGTTAAAGCAGCCTGCCTGAGGTGTCAGTTACAGTACACAATGCCAACATCAGATCACTCAGATTTAGGCCTGAGCAAGTCTCCATACGGTGTGAACCCAATGGAGATTAATCTGAACTCTTTATTGAATTAATATAATATACAATATTGACAAGTCGTAAGAGTGCATAGGATTTCAGTGTTTTGAGTGAGCGAGTTTTGGACATCAAGTTGTATAGCAAATTTCAAGTCAACATATTAATAGCTTTTAACCGATTGCAAAACTGTTAAGTGTTATGAAACACTGAATAAAAGTTGTCCATTCAGGATCAACCTAGCACCCTTCAGTAGATGAGGTAGAATTTGTACAATAGACCCTCTGAGTAACTTAATCTGTGGCTGTTAAACCACATATACACTTTGAAGAAGATAACACAAGGATTTCTCCTTTTGTCCTGAAAGCATGTATTGAAATTCTAAAAGATCAAACATTGCAATCCATATTATCTCTGAATAGTTACATTATGCAGATGAAGTTACCAACAGGCCTGGATTTATAGTTTTGGTTCGATGATTTAAATCTAAACTTTACAATCTTCAGTCCCATTTGTGATGAGTATTCACCCATTTTTTCAGTAGTATTAATTTGTCATAAAACACTGTTTTCGGGCATCTTTCTGCACATTTAATAAAATAGTCAAATTATCCAATAAAACTCAGTGAGTGTGAAATTTGATAATTGATAATATAATCCTAGCTAATATTGGCAAATCAGCACAATTGGGACTTGCCCTGAATGCTATCTTTAAGCTATTTTGGCCACAGATTGGCTGCAGAATAAATTGTGCCAATTTAGCTGCTAACAAAACCCACAGGCAGAGCTGTGTGCAGAATGAAAACATTCAGTAGTTTTCAAGCATAGCAAAATGGTTGAAATAACACAATAAACATTGCATGTTTTATAGAAAAATGGGCAAAATTGTGTTTGGAATGCCACTAGCAAAATGCTTTTGCAGAATCTAAATGAACAGCATAATTACTAAAAATCTGATCTGATTCACAGAAAGACGTAAACTCAACTGGGGTTGTGGTAAACATAAGTCGCTCATCTGCAATAAAAAGATTCTTAGTATTCTTATTTTAGACTTTGCCGGTATATAAGCAGTTGTGTATATAAGCAGTTTTGTAAATTCAACTTGTTGTAAATTGTGATTGTGTTAGCGTCCAGAGGGACTTGGGTGTCCTTGTACACCAATCACAGAAAGTTAGTCTGCAGGTGCAGCAAACAATTAGGAAGGCGAACGGTATGTTAGCATTCGTTATGAAAGGATTAGAGTATAAGAGTAGGGAAGTCTTGCTGCAACTGTATAGGGCCCTGGTGAGACCACACCTGGAATAATGTGCAGTTTTGGTCTCCTTATTTAAGGAAGGATGTACTTGCCTTGGAGGGGGTGCAGGGTAGGTTTACTAGGTTAGTACCAGGGATGAAGGGGTTGAGTTACGAGGATAGGCTGACCAATTTGGGCCTATATTCTCTAAAATATAGAAGAATTAGAAGGGATCTTATAGAAACCTATAAGATCATCAAAGGGTATGATAGAGTAGATAGTGGGAGATTGTTTCCCCTGGTTGGAGAAACTAAAACCAGGGGTTACAACCTTAAAATCAGAGGCCAGCCCTTTCGCACTGAGTTAGAAAGAACTTCTTCATTCAAAGGGTAGTGAATGTATGGAACTCACTACCCCAAAGGGCTGTTGACGCTCAGTCCTGTGGAGTCCTGTAGCTCAGTGGTTAGAGCACTCGCTTTGCAAGAGAGACACCTGAGTTCAATTCCAGGCAGAGGGCGAAACCTTGGGCAAGTTTCCTTACTCCACACACCTAATAATAATCCCTCCAAAAACCAAAACCAATAATAAATTGGTCATTTTCAATCTACGACTGTTTGTGGGACATTGCTGTGCGCAATTGGCTGCCGCGTCCGCCCACAAATATACTGTCAATTCACTTTACAGTGTGTTCTGTGAAGCCCTTTGGGACGTCCTCCTGACGTGAAAAGCACTATATCAAACGCAAGGATTATTATTATTATTATAGTCCTTGAACATATTCAAGACTGAGATAGATTAGAAGATCAGCCATGATTGAATGGCGGGGCAGGCTCGAAGGGCCGAATGGCCTACTCCTGCTCCTACATGTTATGTTATGTAGATTGAAAATAATCTGTTTGTGCTTTTAACAGCAGCTTGCATTTGAGTGTTTGGCTATTTTTTGCTAATAATTCCATTATTAAAATTGCATGTGATCTGTTTTGTTCTGAATCAGAAAATTATGTGAATGTGATGAAACATTTTGCAGACGGCCAGAAGATTTGTATTAGAGTATTGGCTTACAAACTTTATTCTGTAAGCAGGGTCTGTTTTGTATTACTCAACCCTTTTGAGTGGATACAGTTAAAAGATGGACCTGACCCCTCCTGTTTACACAGCCAGGAGCAGCAACAACCAGGAAATCCTGTTCAGCTGCTCATATGGAGAACTAAAGTTGTCACAGTGCACAGATGTACAACCAACAGTGCTCAGCGCTAGGCAAATGATGCCTTGTGAAAGATTACTCATTCACATTCTTTATCTTGTTCATTGCATTTTAAGATTCTGATGCAATTTTGATCAGTAATCATTTCAGTTGTGAATTATTGGCAGTGACGAGAAAAGTACTGATTATCAGAAATAATCTTCCAGCCGTTGGGCTACCGATAAACCAGCTAGCATACTCATGATTTGAGAACCTCTCTCCTCTCCAGTAGCCAACTATTGCTTAAGGTATGATTGTATGTGGTATCAAGATGGTGACAAAAGAACCTTTAACAATATTTTCTGGCTCCTATTGGGTCCTGAGGATGCAACGAATAACAACCCATTGTTTCAGTTTAGGCAGCTGTGGTGTTGCTTTTAAATCACCATTCAGGAGCCTTTGAATTCTACTTAATTCACACAAATAAATAAGTATATACTCCTGATTTAAGCTTGTACAG